TTATTTTTCGTAAATTTTGTGCTATTCTTAATCTTCGATCACACGAATAAAATAATAAAAATGCTCGTGATCATTTTTATTTTTGAATTGACGTTTCTATATTGAAAGGCAACTAAAATTTTGCTTCTCGCAAATTCTTTATTAATTTTTACTTCCCGGTTTATCTATTTGATTATTTTTCCGATTATAATGCGGACCCCGCCTTACACGTGTAGTCAGGCCGCCATTGATGTTTCGAAGCGGAAACTGACGTTCGACAGCGTAACACACAGGACGCTTGGTGTGAATTGTAAAACCGTTATGTAAAAGTCATGACATTTGTATTGACACATCGTCCACTGTCACGGCTACCGTTCTCCCACTGTCAATATCGAAGCTTTTAAATTCTCCTGTCCTAACCAACTTTGTACTTAAGATGGTGCTAGCTAAGTCTGCAGAAAACAATTATTATCGCGTTGAAACCCTAACCTAACTACCCAGGTAACCTAAGTATCTATGTATTATCAATGGTGCTTTTATTTTTCATTTCTGCTGATATATATTCATTTTCTGTTGTCTGAGATAATCTAGTATGAGGTTATAAATTATTCTCAAGTTTCGAAACTATTATACTAGTATGGTAATGATTTTTAAGAATTATAGTAAATAACAAATAATTAATTATTTCCCTTTTATTATACAGAATTAATTAGAGAAAAATTCTGTATTTTATTATACAGAATTCCCTTTTATTATACAGAATTATAATTATTTATTATAATTAAAATTTTATAAAAATAAGTTGATTAATTCTGTGTAACAAAATTAAATTTCTTCCAGATTTACAATATTTTATTTACTAAATGAAACTTCATTTTATAGTAATGCTAACTAAGATAGTGAAAAATGAAAAATTGCCATTTAATTAAAACCAAGTAAAATTTTAACTTATAATAATGCTAAATGTGATGGAAAAATAAGAAATTTTTATTAAATAAAATTCCCAATTATTAAATAAAATTAAATAAAATTTTTATTTAATAAAAATCCGAAATAAAATTTTATCTGATACCAATCCCGAATTCTCTTGCTCAACTACGATTCCAAAGAAGATGCTTAAATGTCTTTTCGTAAATGAGTCACCCTGTATATTTTCTGCCAGGAAACGTCAGAACCTACCAAATATCTTTGAATGCTCTTGATGATTCACCAAAACCAGACCTCTAACAGGACCTGCTCAGGCGTTATCCCACGCAGTGATACCGAAAGAGATAAGCATCTAGATGTCTTCTTTTAAGTGAGACATCCTGTACATTTACTTTCACAAATACCAAATACCAAAACTTTCCAAACAGCCTCAAGAACTGCGATTCAAGTATTCACTTTTACGTCTTTTCGAAGATTTATTTAATCTAGACCCTCTAACAGTACTGTGCGTAAAGGCATGTTTACAACCTCACGACTGATTAGCTATCGCTAATACTCCCTCGATCGCAAACGGTGACCCATGATCTTAGCCACCATTTTCGGCCAATAACAGTCACTGCCTGTGATCATGAGAGTGTCAGTGGAGTTAACCAGATGTGAGGAAGCAAACACGCTGTGCCTTCTTTTCTCGAACGCACTATACTTGCTTAGATGTCACCCCAAGAATCCCTTCTAAATTATACACCCTGTATATTTACTATTGTCACAAAACAGTGTGATTTTTCCAAACAGCCAAATGATCGTACAAAGTACCCTTAAGATTCTTGTTTCGAGTATTTTTGTATCCAATAGAACTTGCTCAGACTATACTGTATCTCATACTCTCATATGTACTATACTATGAGATTATTCGAGAGAAGGTACCTAGTTTGTTTCCATTACGTATTATCTATTATCTATTATCAAAAATATTGTCAGCATTCCAGGCAACCTGACAGTCAAGGAATAGTCTCAAATACAGGTATATACTATAGAGTGCTCAGAACAGGTCAGTCTGTATGACCCACAGGCAAGTGTACCTCTGTTCAATATGTAGTTCGTTCCGTTTGTCACACATTGCCTACAGGTTTCAAGTTAGTGGTAATGACCGTCTGACTAATTAAGAAACTTCGTGTGTGCCTGTCTTCATGCGTGCATGTGATTAGGTCAACTTACTCGCTGGTTGCCAAGCTAAGCTGGACTCCTTACTGTACTTAAAATATTCTCTTTTTTGGGTTACTGGTGGAACCTAGACCACCTGACAGAACTCGATCAAGCATAACGTTATAAAAATTCTTGCCTTAATCACGATTCTAAAGAATACAGTTAGACCCCTGACAGGTCCTGTTTAGGTGTAGTACGTATCTCTTGGTATAATTCTAGAAAATATATTTCAATATCCTTTTTTAACGAGACACCCTTTGCATTAAGTACTATTTAGAAAGGCTACGAATTTTGAAAGAATCCTGAACCTACATCCTCTGATAGAACCTGTTCGTGTGTTAGTGTCTACGAAAGTAGACCATTGACATAGCTATAATTTTCAAAAGTAGGTTCAAGTATCCTTTTTTAAACGAAATATCCTATACTGTCAAAAACGCTCTAAATTTCTCAAAAATCCTAAATTTGGAGATTCTAATGGGATTTGCTCAGATATTAGACAGGGAAGGTACACCATGGCTATGATTATAATCGTGGAGGAAATATTCAAAGGATTTTTTTATAATAGGGCACCCGGTATATCACATATCGAAAACACTACGAATTTTTGAAAAATCCCAAATTGGACTTGCTTAGATGTTAAATAAGGAAGGTACACCATGACCATGATGATGATTACGGGTGAAATATTAATGTGTATTTTTTGAAACGGGACACCCGGTATATCACATATCGAAGACTCTACGAATTTTCGAAAAATCCCAAATTTGGAGATTCTAACAGGACCTGTCCAGGTATCATGCAACAGTTTCTGCGCTATCCCAGCCCAGTAGCCTTCCTCGTTGCAATGGCTGACCAAATAGCGGGTCAAACACTGTTCTCCAGTGACACTAATTAAATCGACCTGTAATGCAGCAGATATTGAATTTTAATCCAACATTTTGTAACACGCTAATGATTCATTGCCAGTATTCGACGGCCGTGCTTGGAAAATCAGCTGACGCGACGCGTTGACACGAGGCGGGATGCAAAGTTGGTCGTGCGCGGGCAACGGTATTATCGCGAAATAAATGTGCCACAATCGGTTCAGCGGAATTCGGTATGTATTTTGCGAATTAATTAAGGATCGTTCGAACTTTCTTTCGGTTGTCGCCGCTTCGTTCTGATTATTCGACTGGGCTTTGTCCGTGGCACAAAGAAGTTCCTTGATCATCGACTCACTCGTAGTGAAACAGGTAGTACCTCTATCGTGGAAGTGGATAATTAGAAAATTTTTAAATTCAGATTGCGAATTGAAAATGGAAAATATTTATTATTTTTTGTTTCTCGAATATCATAAAATATTCTTCTGATAAATTATTAACACAATTTTTCTATTTATTTTTCATTACATTTTATATCTTTTTTTTTATTTATTAATTAATATAATTAGTATAGGCTGCTTTGAGATATAGTGGTTCGATTTGACAGGAAGCGATTATATGTTAAAAAATAAATTAGAAAGGAAGAATAAAATTTTGTTGTCCAAGCATCTGTTTCAGAGAAAGTCGAATTTGAAAATTTTTTTTTAGAGATTATTCTACAACCAAAAATGAATCGAAAATGTGGAACAAAATTTTTTCGTTCGATGCCTCGTTTTCGTGAAAAATCAGTTCGAAATTCAAAGCGCGTGCAGTCTGATTAGGTTAGGTTAGGTTTGCGAGTGAACAACGCGCGTTTGCAGTGAATTTTCAACCGCGATTTTCTCGAAAACGAAGCAACGAATTGAAAAATTTTATTCTACATTTTCGATTTGCTTTTTAACGAGGAATCATCTCCGATATGATTATACCATACTTTGAGAAGCACCTGGTATATGTTAATAATTAACGCTCCTTATCGTTTCAATTAACTCAAACATTCCGACTCGATGTGTCACGTTTGTTTTCTTTATTACGGTGCAATGTATGCTCGATTCTTTCTTATTACTATTTATGGTAAGAACGAAAGTATGTGCGAGCTGTCTCACAGACAGTATCGGAGGAGATAAACATATAAGGAACTAGCCAGTAAAGCTTCTGATATAAAATTGGTAATGTATATCTATAAAAATCCGTTGAATTCCTGATTTAAATATATACTTCTTGAATCGAGTATTAAATTGGCAATAGTGTCGTACAATTCCAATTAAAATATCTTTTAAATAAAAATTTCTTTTTACCTTTTTATAAAATGCATTTAAATATCGGATACCTCGTGTATAGTTGGTCACAAAAATATTTTGTGACATACAGGCAATTTTATTTTTCAAATTATATTATGTTATAGAGGTATTATATTATTATATCATTGATATGTTATATTAATATTTTATTACTACGTTACTAATACATTGATATATTAATATATTATATTAGTATGTATTACTATAATATTTTAATTTATTATAATATATCAATAATATAATGTAATATAGTATGTTAATAATATTATTATACTGTTACTAGATTATATTGTGTACCATAATATATTAATAATTTACTAAAATAGTGTTAATATAATATGCTACCACTACTATTACATTATTCCTGCATTATTAGTATATTATATCAATATTAAACAATTGTATTATTAATAATTATATTGTATTATATTAATATCTAATGTACAGTAATTACATTCATTATAGATTTATTCAAAATAGAGGGCATAATAGTCGTATCATACCTGTGTCCAAATATTTTTGTCACCGACTGTACCTCGAATAACCTGTACCTCTTAATGCAACGAAACAATTAGTTTCGAAATTTAATACATTCAACTACATCTTTGCAAATGATTTGTCTCTGTTCAAATCTCGATCATAAAAGTGACGAAATAACATGATCACTATAAAGAAAGATCTCTTTTTACAGTAAGAACAAGAAGCATGCAACGGTGACCCAGTATTGTAAAAGATATGCGCGGTGATTGGTGCCATTCTTAATATTTGACTGGAGGCAGACGTTGCTATTACTTACGAAGCTCTTCCCTACGACTGAACATTCTTCGAAGGCAAGATGATGCTGATCAAGAGTTTCTTCCAAAGGATCATCAAGGACTTCCGGCACAAGGAGTTGCTACCTCTTAAAATGATATTCTTCGTTCAAGCATCGAGTGAGTATTTTTTATAATTATTTTCTTCGTACGTTTAATTAATCTATAATTAATTAATTTAAGTAACGTGTTAATAATCAACATCATTTAAAAACAAGAAAATAAATAAATAAATAAAGTCATTTCAAATGAATTCAAATTTCTGTCGCAGAATTTTATTATTATATCTGTTCTTTATACTTATATTTATATTTTATATTTTAAAGCTTATACTCTATACTCTATATACTCTAAGTACTATATTCTGTATCTACATACTCTATTCTCTAGTCTATATACTCTATATTCTATACTCTGTATACTCTATACTCTATATTGTATATATTCTCTATTCTATATTCTATATCTATATACTCTATTCTCTATACTGTATACTCTGTACTCTATATCTATATACTCTATACTCTATATTCTATACTCTATATTCTATACTCTGTACTCTATACTCTATGCTCTATACTCTATGCTCTATACTCTATACTCTATACTCTATACTCTATACTCTATACTCTATACTCTATACTCCATACTCTATACCTTATACTTTATATACTCTATATTCTATATTCTATATCTATATACTCTATTCTCTAGACTGTATACTCTGTACTCTAAATCTATATACTGTATTCTCTAGACTATATTCTATACTCTGTTTACTTTATACTCTATACTCTATACTCTATACTGTATACTCTATCTATAGAATCTATATACTCTATACTGTATACTCTATCTATAGAATCTATATACTCTATACTCTATACTATATACTCTGAACTCTATAACCTATAAACTATATACTATATACTATATAATTAGACGAAAGAAATCTTTTTGGGGAAACAATTATTTTACCGCAATTTTTAATTAATCGTAAATCAATAAATTAAATAATGGAACGATGTATTTGTGTAAATGTTAACTGGATAATTTTATCATCATATTTATTCTGTTTTGAATAACTCAACGTTGATTACTTTAAAAAAGATTTTACAACGACATGGAAATTTTTAACGAAAGTCACGAATACGTGTTCAATATACAGTGTGGTCCGCGTTATTTGCACACGCCGAATAATTTCTAAAGTATTCGTTTTACGAGTAATTCTCTTATACGAAAGATGTATATTTCAAGAAGCGCATTACGTAATGCACGAATTTTATTTTATCGAAATTTTACTATAGTTATGACTCCGTAACTCGGTATGATGCGTTCTAAGTTTTTGAAAAACGAAGCTAAATTACTCGCCAACTATTAGATTTAGGGTTAACAAAGGTTAGTAGTTTTTTGTTAAAAATTCGACGCTTTTTTACATTCTGACTCAAAAGATATACTATTCCCTTTAAAATAACAAAGATGACCTTGAAATCTCCGAAATCCCGCCATCTATAAAAAAAAGGTATATACATAACGTAATGTGCTTCTTGAATCATGCAACTTTTGTATAAAAAATTTTTTCGCGTAACCAATACTTTTGAAAATACTCGAGGTATGCAAAGTTTGTGAATCACCCTGTATAACTTCCTGAACCAACAGCTTCGCTTGCAAATTAGTCACTAAACCACCTTCTTCGACATTAATATTTATGCTAGATAATGTTTCTTGTTTTCAGTTTATTTTGACCACAACGTATACCTTCTTTATGAATAATTTACACGGCTAAACCACATTACTGATTTATTACAACGTCTACACTTCATAAAAGCTCGGATCCTCTTTTTAAAACAGCTTACGCTATTCCCTTCCTGATTTATTTCCATTACCTTTCTTTTATTATTTCATCTGTGTTTTATATTTTTCGAGCAATTCAAATGATACTTTAACGGCAACTATAGTTGCAAAAATATATTCCTGTTTAGAAAAAATATATGTAAAATAATTATTTAAATTTCTCTCGACTTTTATATATATTATATATAAAAATATATACGACTATATATTATATAATAACACAATTACATAATAATTATATAATAACAATTATATTATATAATTGCTATCATTGAATAATATATAAATATATAATAATAAAATATGTAATTAATATAAAATATATAATTATAATATATAAATATATATTTATAGATTGATATTCAGTGATAACAATTTAAATAAATAATTTACTATTGTATGTAGTATAGTATATACTAATACAAATACTATACTAATACACTATACTGTATACCAATATTCTATACTGTAATTTTATAAATTAAATGAAATTCCATAAACATCATACATTAATCTAATTTATTCAATTAAATTCCATACGTTTGGTAAAGGTGAAAAATAGTTTTATAAATTGAATAAAAATTGAATAACAAAATTCTATAAATTTAAATTTAATTCGAAGTAAATTTCATGTATAGTTACGTTATACAACTCGATCGATAATTAAAATAAGTATTTTATGGTATTTCAATTTTCTGAAAGTTTTCAATCTCTCGTCAGAAAATTGTTTTCTGTTTTAGTATAATTTTTAATTATCGTTTTCAGCGCTCTATGTACTTTATCCATACCTGACAATACACATGAGGGAGCTCGGCATTAACGTGGAGGAGACTGCCATAATGAGCGCCATAACGCCAGTGGTGGCTATGGTGATGCCACCCTTGGCTGGAATGTTCGCCGATCGTGTGGGAAATTTCAAGGTAAAACTTCGTTGAAACGATTATTATTATAAGCACACCCGTTATACTCATTATGTAAATAAGTCATGTAAACTTTAATGTCTGTCGAAAATTTAAACTTTAACGTCTGTCGTCCCTTCTTCTCGTCACACATTTGAATAATTACTATGTGCCAAACTTGCCAACCATCCTCTCAGTAATTCACTTATAAGTCACTAAATAATCCCTAGAAATAAATGTACAAACGATAGTCACTAGCAGGCCTAGTAACCTTTCACGAATTGCCACTTTTCAAGTGTAATGTCACTAGTTCATTCTTGAGAGCTTTAATACAGAATTGAGAAATCCCTCATCTTCCAAATTTTTCAAACCTAACCTAAAAATCGTTTTACAAAACAATCTTCCAAATTAAAAATTTAACGAAGAAGAAGATCATTAACAATCAAAATCAAAATCAAATCAATCAAAAAGTACCAAAATAGTGTCATCTATTAAATATAATACTTAAATCATCCAGTCTTCAATTCTAACCTAAAATTCTCATTAGGTACAAAGACAACTGACGATAAAAAATCTCTTAACACAGAATCTTCTGTCCTTTATCACTATAATTCAATATTCAGATAATCTTTTCAAAATCCATCTTTTGAATTAAAAATAAAAAATAAAAAATTGGAGTTACACAATTTCAAAAAAGAAGTTGACAAACCACAATAAAGAGTCATTAATATAGCATCTTTTATCCTTTATTATCCAAGCTCAAAGCCATTTTCTAATTTCAAAGCTCACGTTACAATACGATATATCTATACACACTACTGACGTTCAAGCATGCCGAACATAACCTATATCTTTGATCGTTCAAACTCTTTAAATCTGACACACTAATGTTATTCCCAGTCTACTCTTTATGTTACGATTAAAAATTGACGATTAAAACAGCCTGTCATATAATCCTTTATCTTTTATCACCCAAATTTTCCTAACCTGATACACTCATGTTCCTTCAAAAGCCATTCTATGATATAAAATTTACGCTACTATGCGACTAGTATGCATAGTAAATCTTACGATTAAAAATTAACGTTTAAAACAGTGTATCATAGAAGAGAGAGTGGTGGGAGTAGTGGAATAAGGGTGGGGGGTCTCATGAGAGTAAGACTGTCTCTAAAACACTCTAACCTCTCATTCTCGTACCCTTATTCTAACTTTATACTCTTCTTTCCTTAGTCACACATTTCCCACGTGACGTCGGTGGGGGCCAGGTATTTCAAACACTCAGAATGCATTCTTAAACTACGTCACTCGTTTCTCGACTTTGTCGTAAATATCCTTTGCACACAATCACTTTCGTCCTAAGTCCCAAACGCTCTTAACACGCTAAGCGTTACGCCAGTCCCTGGGGACCGGTGCTAGACTTCCCATTTGGGCCCGACCCAGACTAGGACCAAAAGGTGCTAACTTCTGGTGTTAAATTCTTCGCTACCTTTGGACCTAATGTTTGGGAATTCCTGTTATAACAATTGCGCCAGTGGCCCACTTGACGGTCGAGTCTGGGCCTGAACAGAACGGAAAGCAAAACGGACTGGGCACTTAACCCTTTCGCTACAGCTGGTGTCCGTGTCAAAGGTGGTTAGGTTAGGTTCGCGCAATCTTTAGCATTCGGGGCCAAGTCTTTTGAAGCAGAAAAAGAACAATTGATCATCGCAATAGTGCTTGCAATTCTAAAGAGAGCTAAGTGGAAAGGGAGCACTTGTCTTAATTCTTGGCTCAATTTTTGTGACCGATGACTATAGTCACCTGTCGTGTATAGGTGACGTTTCGTACCTGGGTGACTATAGTCACCCGTTATAGCAAAAGGGTTAACATTCTTTCGGTGCTGTACTCGTTCCAATCCCACATATATGTTTTCAGAGAATTAAATAAATATGGCTGCGTGTACCATGTATAGTACACGTGGCCTGAAGGTCAAGTTTAACGTGTTCCATAAATGGTACACGTGGCACGCAACGTGTTAACACTAAACTATGGTCTAAATCAGCATTTTCCAAACCTTCATTAAAAATTGAATTCATCATTGGTCAACGTTACTATAATAATGACTCGTCTTCGCGAGTGATTTTTCTCCCAGTATATGTATAGTCATTTTCTCAGTATCTCTCATTATTTCATTTTATAAAGCTTCTATTTCTTTTCTATTCACTGGTTACTTGATTATGGTAGATTTAGTGTTAACCTTTTGCGCTCGACGATTTTCTGACTAAAGAAGGGTACGAGTTGAAAAAGGTTCTGCTATAAGGCTCATGATATTTTCTGAACAGTAAATAGGAAATCGTATAATAATTAACACGTAGAATTATTTAATTTCGATACCTCGCACACTGTTACATTATTTTAAATTTCATATATTAATTAATATCGAGCCTCGAAATTTTACCAAGTAGCGACTGAAAGGGTTAAAATATTATTATCGGCTGAATTTCTCATACCTAACAATCTTCTGATCCTTGCAAAATCCTTTGCTTTTCCTGATCAAAATTGTTGGAGCTTAATGCATCCCGATCCTTCCGAAGTCGTTCTAGACTTTTGAAATTCGCGGTACGATACGGCGAAGAGAAGGAGGAAGCAGATCACCGATGTTCAGACGATATCTCTATCTAGATCCTGCTATCCCTGTTCTCATCGTTCGGCGGAGTCGCGTCGCTTTTATTGCTGCTGGTGCCGATAGGCAGGATAACAGTGGAATTTCCGGACAGAGTCGTTATGGACCTTGGCTGTACAGGGAATAACGGGTTGTTTTACACCATGAGCCAGAATCATCCTTGCGAGACGAGCTTGCAGTCCAAGATCTCCACGAGGATAGAGAGTTGCGGGTAGGTAAGGGCGAGTGTTTCAACGATTCTGCATTTGTTTCAAAGAGAGTTCTGACTGTCGATCATTCGATAGCTATTTTTCTACTCGAAATGCTTGTTATTTTCGATTTTGTATAAATAAATTCTTGTGTGAAATTAGAGAATTGATATTTCTTTGATGGGTGCAACTGTTGTTATGTTAAAACTTTTAAACTGGAGTCTTAATTTCTTGGAAATTTGTCAAGAAATAGTTTGTTTCAAAGATACTTAATTACTAATAATTAAGTATACATTTGTATAATTTATAATTACATTTAATTAATAATAATTAATTATAAATTTGGACTCTTTATTTGGACTCTTCATTTTTTAGTCGTATCAAGTAATAGTTTATTAATATTTTTATTATAGTTTAATATTATAATTAATATTGTTTTAGTTAGTTTCTTAGTTTATTAATATTAT